TGTTGAGAGACAGCCAAGTAGAGGCACAACTCCTCGCCTAGCTGAGGTGTGACCAAAATAGGGGCTGAAGAGAGATATGCTTTCAGGTCTACTAGTGCGCGATCGCACTCGTCATCCCAGAAAAACTTGGACTTCAGAGTTTTAAAGAAGGGCCTGCAATGATCAAAAGACCGGTTGATAAATCTGTTCAACGCGGCTGCTATCCTGGCAAGATGTTGCACGTCCTTTGTGGAGTTGGGACACTCCAGGTCTTGTATGGCATTGATTTGTGATGGGTCAGCTTCAATCCCTCGATTTGTGACCAGAAAACCCAAAAACTTTCTGGTGCCAACTCCGAAGGCGCACTTTGTGGCGTTCAAGCGAAGCTTGTGGAGCTTAAGTATGGCGAACATCTCTGCAAGGTCGGCGAGGTGTTGAGACTTCTCCTTACTCTTCACCACCATGTCGTCGATATAGGCCTCCATTGTTCGGCCCAGAAGAGGAGCGAACATCTTCGTTACCATCCTTTGAAAAGTCGCCCCGACGTTCTTTAGTCCGAACGGCATGACTTTGTAACAATATAAGCCTCTAGGGGTTGTAAACGACGTGATCTCTCTGTCCGGTTTATACATGGCTATCTAGTGGTAGCCGTGATATGCGTCCAGGAAGCTAAACCTCTGATGGCCAGCGGTTAAGTCCACCAGCTGGTCAATTCGTGGGAGGGGAAAACTATCCTTGGGGCAAGCTCGGTTGACAGTCTTGTAGTCAACGCAGACTCGCCACTTGCCGTTCTTCTTCAGAACAACCACCGTGTTGGATATCCACCGAGGGTACTGCACCTCCTCTGTGGCCCCAGCTTCCAACAAATTCTTTACTTCTTCTGCGACCACTTCAGCATGGTGCAAGGCTGAGCGGCGCGTCCTTTGAATGACTGGCCGTGCATTAGGGAAGACATTCAACTGATGACAAATGAAGCTCGAGTCGATGCCAGGCATGTCGTAAGGCGTCCAAGCAAAAGCCTCCAAATTGGAAACCAAGAAGTTTACATAATCCATCCGCTCGGCGCTAGACAAGGATGATCCCAAGAGGAAGAATTTAGTTGGATCGTTCTCGTCAATGCGCACTTCTACCAAATCTTCGACCGACTTTTCCTCGGCCTTTCTTCCTACGTCTTCAAGGACCTCTTTACCCTCGGGCCCTTCAATTATTTGGACGAATCCTTTGACCGCTCGGCTGCCATTTACCGCAACGAAGCATTGTTTCGCCATCACCTGGCCCTCCCAAACTTCCTCTATTTGTCCGCTTGGTGCCGGAAAGCGCATGACTTGGTGGAAGGTCGAAGCAACTGCTTGCATGGCGTGCAGCCAACCCCTGCCTAAGATCAAGTTGTAAGTTGATGGAACTTTAAGCACCCAGAACTCTACTTGCTTTACGACCTATCCCACTTTGACCGGCAAAATAATCTTTCCGATTGGCCATTCTGGCTGCTAGTTGAAGCCGACCAAAGAGGACGTTGCGGGGGCCAAGTCCTTGTCTTCCAACTTCATTTGTTTAAACGTGTCATCGTACATAATTTCTACCGAACTCCCCTGGTCGATCAAGATTCTCTTGATGTCAAAGTCTTTGACGTGAAGAGTGACTACTAAAGCATCATTGTGCGGCATCTGAACTCTTTCCAAGTCCTTGGTTGAGAATGAAAGGATGTCCCTTTCTTCGGTCTTTCCTTTCTTCACAGCGGGCTGAACAGAGAGCACTTCCCTCATGTGCTCGGCCTTCTTGATCATCCTTCTCAGCTCGCAAACCCTGGCCGGTTCAATGATACCGTGGATGGCGTTGATTACACCTTGCGGGGGCGCTTCTAGGGCGGCCAGGCCGTTTGGCTCGGCTTGGTCCGTTGGCGTGGCCTTGATGCCCCCATCTATGTATTGGTCAAGATGCCCCGCCGCCACCAACTCTTTTAAGTGTTGTTTGAGCGGCAAGCAGTCCTCTGTGCGGTGCCCCCGTTCTTCATGAAAGGTGCAGCGATATTTTGAATTGAAGCCCCTTTGCGCACTTCCCAACTTGGCCGGCCAACAGACAAAGGGTTCACCTCGAATCTCGCTCAAAATACGGTAGATGGGGATTTTAAATACCGTGGTGATCCCATTCCGCGCCTTCAATTTTCTTTTGGCATCCTCTGCTGCATCACGGGGAGGGTCAGCCCGGTCGTTTCAGCGGCCCTTGTTTCTGTCATCACGGTTTGAACCGTGGCGCTGGTCTTTTGATCGGTTGTTTGGGCGGTTATCCTCCTGCCTAACCGAGTGAACTTTCCCCGCAACCCTTCTGTCCGCCGCGACCGGATTAGCCTTCTCCGTCGTGGAGGCGGCATCATCCTCCACACGAATGTGCTCATTGATCCGCTGCATCAATGACTCCATGGTTGTAGGTTGATGCATCGTGAGTGAATCTCACAGCCTATGTCCGACTGGGAGACCCCGTTTGTATTGAGTGATCGCCAGATTGGTGGGGCAGTCGATGATCTCATTGTAAGTTTCCTAGTATTTCGCATTGTATGCCTTCAACGAACATCCAGACTCCATCTTGACGCCCAGGAGATGGTCGACCTCCTTCGGCGTTCGTGTGTTGGTTTTGAATCTAGTGACGAAGGCTTCTGCTAGTTGCTGCCACCCCTCAATACTCCCCTCCGGGAGCCTTCCGAACCATTTCAAACCCAGCTCTCCCAAGCTTGCTGGGAATATGAGGCACATCAAGGCGTCATTCCGCCGGTGTCCAGCCATTACTTGCCGGTAATGGCTCACATGCATGTATGGATCCGTCTTGCTGTCGTACAGAGTGAACTTTGGCTGGTGGAATCCGGGGGGGAGTGGCGTACTCTCAATCTCTGGAGACAGCGGCGTGGCAGTAAGTCGCGCCAGCTCCTTGTCCACCAGCGCAGGGGCTATCACTTTGGGGGCTAGCATCGCCACTTCCTCACTGTAACGAACTAGAGCGCTTAACCTCTGCAATGCCGGCACTCTCCGAGCCTCCCGACGGCGTGCCCTCTCCTCCAATACATCCCTCAAGTCCCTGGAACGTGTGGAGAAAGAGGATCCCGACGTCGGCGTCGGGTGTGAGGGGCGATAGGTGTTGTCGCGAGAGAGGGACCTGCTCTCTCCTTGGTCAGAACCTCCAACCCCATAGTTCCTGGTGATGGAGAGAGAGTGAGTCCTCCCCTGGCGGCGACTGCTACAGCGAGGGGATGGGGTGCACTCATTGAGGTTGTCCTCTCCAGTAACACCCTTCTCTTTAATCTGGCGTTTCAGTAGCTCCATCTCCGCCGCCATTTTGCGAATGACGGCGTCTTGGTCCTTGAGTTTGTGCTCCAGGCCCCGCGCATGGGACTCCCCCCGGCGTCGGCGGCCCTCAGGACTCTGCGAGCGATCAGTACTCCTCCCGCGTTTGTCTCGCGCACTTCGCGAAGGAGTCTCTAGGCCCGCCATGGCTGGAATATTCAGAGGACCTTCTCTCAAGCGGACGTACTCAGGTGTGATGCCATCGACGACGGACAGTGGGGCTTCGCCGTTGTTGGCCATGGAAATGGTCGAAGAAGCTCTAAGAACAAGGGTTAAGTATCAAAAAACTTTCCACAGACGGCGCCAATTGTACGGGGGCGAAATATCCTCTGCTTTCCGTACTCCTTGTACTCCAAGCTTCTCTTGGCGGCGTCTACCTGGTAACACAGAAAAGGTGAGCTGCCGGCGGTGATGTGCCGGAAAGACCCTCCGACGATCAAGTCAGTCCACTTGAGGAAGGAGAAAACAGATAGAGAGAGAGTGTTTTCTTTGGGGAAGAAGTTGCATACCTCTTACGTTCATCCTCCTCCCTATTTCAAGGCTGGCCATGCAACCTCAAGATTATGCACGCACTACCTCTGCTGTCCTTCCCAGGACAGGTGGCAGTACTCGCCTCTCACCACCTTACGCGTGTAAAGGCTTAGTCCTCCCTCCAGTACACGCAGAACTGTCAAACGGTATTGGTGCATGGGTGGAGCAGATGTCCTACCCCTCACGCCATTGGCCCAGGTGGCACACTTAACCGGGGTACCACGACCAGCTGGTTCCCTGTGGAGAATTGCCTCCTCGAATACATAACCGAGCTAATGAGCGCCGACCTGTCCCTTGGCAAAGGGGCCAAAATGCTATGCTCATGGCCGGGCTGTTTATGATCGGTCCCAACCGACTGAATGGCCATGAAGCACGCTGGACTTCCACCGTTCTTCATTAAGCCCGTCCATCTCGGCCGATCGGTTAAGCGCATGCCGACGCTAATCGCATCTCAAGTCCAGTCCGGGCCGCTCTCGGCTTTGTCGTCAGACACTGCTGCGCGCTCGGCATTGTTACAGCTCGGCCAGGCATTGGTTCATGTCTGGCCGGTCGACCTCTTCAGCCATACAGGTCAGGCCGCTGGCCGAGCAAGATAAGATTCTGTTCGGCGGCGCGCGGTTCGTCATGACCGCTATTATCGTAGCTCGGCCGTACTAACGCGCAAATCTCCCCTCTCAGGGACTATTAATCTCTTGGTATTAGTAGTTCCCTTGGAAGGGGGATTAGTAAGGAGGAGATAGAGATGATATTAGAAAAATAGCGAGGGGATTATAAATTTTTTTTATTTTTTATTTTTTATATATTGGAAATTTTTTTAAAATATTAATGTTTAATTTTTTATATTTTTTATTATTTTATATAAAAATAATTTAATAATTTCTCACTATTAATCCTTTCACTATTAATCACTATTAATCCCCTCACTTTCAATACTCTCACTAACAATCATCTCACTATTAATCTGCCCACTATGAATTCCCTCCATTCTATCTCTGAAAATAAACGAGGCCTTATAATATAGGTTAGGTTTGGTATCTTTTAAAAAAATCATTATTGTTTTTAAGTCACATCACCTCTCTATTACACCACTTCAAACTTAACTCATATTATCTGATACAGCCCAATATATGGCCAACCCTCGGTCGGATCCGAATCCGAGTCAAACGAACACGGTCTCCTTGAAAAAAATCCATGAGACAGAACCCGTAGCCAAACACACCCAATTCTGATGCTTCTCTCTCCCCGTTCCCCTCATCCAATTCCGATCTAGAATCCCTTTGTTTCTCTACCCTCACACGCAATGGGAAGCAGCAGCAGCGATGTGGAGGCAGGTTTCGCGAAGCTCCAGGGAGAAGACTTCGAGTACTACATGCAGACCTACTCAATCGTATTAGGTCGAAACAGCAAGAAATCCACCGTCGACGTCGACCTCTCCTCCCTCGGCGGCGGCATGAACATCTCTCGCCACCACGCCCGCATCTTCTACGACTTCCAGCGCCGCCGCTTCGCCCTCGAAGTCCTCGGCAAGAACGGTTGCTTCGTCGAAGGCGTCCTCCACCTCCCCGGCAACCCTCCCGTCAAGCTCGACTCCCAAGACCTTCTCCAGATCGGCGACAAGGAGTTCTACTTTCTCCTCCCCGTTCGTAGCATCCTTGGCGGCCCGATCGGGCCTCGCCACCATGGCGCCGTCGCGGCGGCTCACCACCACCACCATTTGTTGCCGCCACCGGGGAGCTTTGGGTTGGGGAAGAAGGGCGGGAGGGGTAGGGTTGAGTATTTTGAGGATGAGTATGATGATGATGAGGGGCGTGGTGGAGATGATGGATTGGTTGCTGCTAAGAAGATGAGAAGAGGTGGGGATGGGCATGAGATGTATGGATATGGCTCGGCCGGCTCGGGCGGAAAGGGGGTGATTCCGGGACAATTGGGTGAGTAAAATTTAACATTTTTCTTGATTTAAGATGACATTAAGAACAATAATTTACATATGATTCATGATTGATATCAATTAATAAAGGATTATACTATTTGAGTAGTTATGCTTAGTGTCAAATTTGTTGTTCTTGGTATATATATATATACCATGAATTGGATTTGTAGTTTCTGCTTTGTTGCTTCTTAGGGGGTTCAAGTTTTGCTCTTTGGGCATTTAAGAATCACTGGCACTTGAGATTTGCTATGGGGATTTTTGTTTTTATGTTGTTTGGATATTGCTAGATTTGTGAATTCAGAATTGTGCTTTGTCATTGTGGACTGGGCTCAAATATATCTAGCATCTGAGTAGTTCAAACTTCAAAGTATTGAGAAGGGAAAACCTTCTCATGATCACCTCGACCAAAGCCAACTTCCTAAAGTTCAAGTTAACCTCGAGATAGCATTGTCATTGCCATAACGTTCCAAACTTTCATAGGAATCGCATCTCCTGAATTTCTTGGGTGCGACTCCCTCAAGTTTATCTTCTAAAAGACTAAAAATGCCTTAAAAATACTCTCATGAACACTTAGGGCAATAACCTCTATATTTCCAAATGCACCATGAGATTCCCCCATTAGAGTCTGCTCACAACTCACACACGACTCACAAGGAATGATGTCTGCCCCGATTGGCTAGCAGGACCAGGGGATCTCTCAAATCTTGACTCATGGTGTAGTATCTGGATACATGCTGGAGCATGGGGATTATGTTGCTTGCCAAGTTGTGGACCAGGTCACTACCTCGACCAATCATGGTGAAGGTTCATTTTTGTTTTGACCGAATAGTTCAAAGAAGGAATCTTATTGTTATGGCATCAGTCTCTTGCTTCAACTTTGTCATTTTTTACTGTTGGCTGGAACTGGTTTGCATCAGGAAATGTATCACATGACTAGAAAGTTTCATATACAACTAGAAATGACTTGCCAAGATTTCATTTCACTATGCCTCAGTTTTTTTTTTTTTTCCTCCTGTACGCCATCCTCTGCATTGCATGGTACAAATACTTGAAGAGATGGTTGATTTCTATGTCAGCTAATAATGTATGTCATGTTTGCCACTCTTAACCAATATTCTTGTCAGTTGGGAGCAAACTTTTGGGGGGGAATGAATTAATACTTTAAAGTGTGTACAATTATGTCATGTTATGCAGTCTTGGTGCTATTAGTTGTGGGATTCAGCTTTCCTAATTGTTGGAAACAAAATGAACCACATAGTAGGTTCCGTGTAAAGAAAAGAAAAAACGGAAATTGTTCATGGAGGCACTCCATGGAATTTGTCTCTTTCAGAGGACTTGCTCTGTGAAGCCTTTTGTGCTTTTACACACAAATATGCGCGCGCACACACAGAGTCATATGAACTTTTGAGAGAGAATGAAAGGAAGAGCAAAATAAGGATAAGAAAGAATTTGTTCCTGATGTTGTACTGTACGATTAATGGTATTTTCTACTGTACCTGCAGATAAGAAGGTTGATGCAAGGTCCAGAGTTGACAGGGAATCTGACAATCATCAGCTTCTTCAGTTGGAAGAGAAGGATGTGGTATCATCTGTGGCAACTGTGCTTTCTGATCTTTGTGGCCCCGGAGAATGGATGCCAATGGAGAAACTTCATGCAGAGGCAAGTTTAACTTAACTTTTTTTTTTCCCCTTCCCCTGGTGCTCCCCTTGTGTTCTATATGTATACGTTTGCTGATTGTGATCTCATCTGTAAGGTTGATTTTGTGAATGCATGGTGCCAACTGAGAGTTTATTTATAGCACATCAATTGTGCATATTAGCTTGAAATAGACTGCTGAAACGATACAAAAACTTCTTGATGGCTATTCTGTTTATTGTCCAAAATGATCAGAAATGAGGCCAGAAGAGCTGCCCTATTTGCCTCGTATTGCACGTTGTAAGAATAATATGTTAACTAGTTATACATTTAAATAGGACACAGCAAGGGGGACTTACGTGTCCTAATAGGTAGACTTATTGTCTAATAAGTCCTATAATAATTAATGGCGTTTTTCATCAAACACTATTAAAAAACGTCACTAATTGTTAATTTTCAGTGATAGTTTGAAAATTGTTACAAAAAATATCATTAATTATAAGGTTTAGTGATAGTTCAAACAAATTTTCACAAAAAAGGTCATTAATTTTTAACTTTCAGCGACAGTTTGAAAATTTGTCCCAGAAAAACGTCACTAATTGTAAGTTTTAGCGACAATTTATGAAAACCGTGACAAAAAAAAAGTCACTAATTGTCAAATTTTTAGCAACATGTAAAAAATCGTCACAAAAAATTATTTTTAGCAATGATTTTATTAGGATTTATTTTTAATAGGACTTTATAGGAATTAAGTTCAACTGTTAGGATCTATTGGTAGTTTACTCTTAACTTTTTCTGGTCAAGCACAGCAGATGGTATGTCCACTCCCCCGGGACAATGCAACATCTTCAAATGACATACATTATTAAACCCTATGCATGATTAGATATCCATAGGATCAATGTAAATGCAGGCTGACTTGATATCAGTATTTTTCACTTTTAGTTTAGAAGTTAGAGTTGGTTCTATTCATGTACTGTCAATCTTTAGTCTACCATCACATTTGGGAAATTTGCATATTATTGGACCAAAAGCCACCTTCACGATGATTACCCCAGTATCCCTCTAGCTGTTAATATGTTCATTTATTTGAATAAAGCTCATATTTTTGGAGCCTTGGAGCCATAGCTTGTAGTAACAAATGTGATTTTTGTTGTTGCAGTTGCTAGATCATTACCGCAGTGTTTGGCATCACAGTCGTGTAAGGAGATACCTCACATCTGAGGAATACCCTGGTCCTGAATCCAAGGGAAAACCATGGTATGGTTTGCTTATGTTGTTAAGGAAATACCCTGAACATTTTGTCATCAACACAAGGTCCAAGGGCCGGGTAACGCTGGAGTTTGTCTCTCTTGTCTCACTGCTTTCATAAGATCTTGAAACCTCACCATGCCAGTCATCCAGCATTTGATCCATCAGAAAGTGACAACATTGCATATGCTCAACTCCAATATAAATTGTTGTGGAGTGTGGTCAGCTTGAAGCTCTGCTTCGGTGCTGTAAATAACTCCATGAACATGAATTATGTTGATGGAACATCTTTTGTATATGGTGTTTTGGTAGTGTATTGTACTCTCTCAGTTTCTCTATGACAATTGCTTTTTTTTCTTCTTGAGATATTGTACCCTTTTAGGTTTTTCTTATCAGTGCCAACTTTGTTTTGATTGGCCACGCCTTGTGGATTTTTCATCTAGCCCATATCTTATGAAGTGTGCCCTTTGTTTTTACTTCTTCCAAGTTGAACAAAAAAAAGTTTCACCTAACATTGTGTTTAATTGGTACATTTGCACTTGGAAATGTGAACTGCAGACTTTGGTTGCAAACTGGTAGCATTATTGGTTGAAGTCATGGAACATGTTTAGTAACTCAAATCACACAATGGACCCCTTCTCTTTTTCTTTTTCTTTTTTCTTTTTTTAATTCCTTTCCTCTTTGTCTACATCTTTCATTATTGTTTTTTGCTTTTTAAAAAGCCATTTTAGCCATCTCAACCAACCACCATTATTCCTGTGAACTGTCATTGTTCCCCAACTAACAAAACTATTCGTGTTTGAGTTCTTTTTTAATATACTTCAGGTTTGAGTTTTCAGAGTAGCAAAATTTATTGTTGTTCCTACTTAAAAGATGATTGAGAAACAGCTTCCGTAGTACCCAAAAACAAAAAAGGATGATCAAGTAACAGATGACACCAATTTGACCACCATTTTAGTCACTAAAAGAGAGGTTAAACACTGGGAAAAAAGGAACAATGAAAGGTTATGAAATTACTGGGGAAAAGGAGAAACAATAACTGAGATGACCTTTTACCACCATTTGCCTACAAACTAACACCAAACAAGCATACATGCAGCTCACAGATTCAACCCACCAATGAACATGAGCTCAGACCAATTCAATTGAGAAACTTCAAAAAGTAACACAATACCGAGTAGCAACCACGAAATTATAGACTTTCAACCTTGACCCCGGAAGAGTGAGCGGTTAAGACAAAGCACAAGAGAATCAACATGACTTTGTTCCAATCTTCCAAGCATACACATGTTGAGTTTCAGGTTTTGGATTAAACTTCACCAAGTCCAGGAATCATAAACTTCACTGAGTCCAAGAATCAACGTGACCATGGAACTACAAATTTAGAACCATGGAACTAACACAAAAATGGTTCAGATTATAATTTATAATAATGCATTTTGCAGAACATTGACGGCTATGATTAGTTTGAGAAATCATTTCAAGTGCTCACTCTAGAGACTAAGTGCACTGGCTTCAAGATGTTTATGATATCAACCCAAGTAATTTTGAACTCTTATTGAATTAAAGACATAAATCTGCTACTAACATATATATAAAGTTCCATCACGATCCTGCCCTAATAGGGGCTTGTATATACCCAAATTTAGGAAAAAGAAAAAAATAAAAAAAGATAGGCTGAATTGCAAACACATAGGTTTTCAGCTTTGTTCCTGAACCAAAAAATTTCAAGAGAGCGATGTTTCTGGCTCTACGTCTTCTGAAGCTGAGAAGCCATTGACTCCTTGCTCACCTTCCCAGTCACTATTCTGGGTTGAAGGCTCAGACTTTCTTCGCGCACCTGCCCCGGTTCTTCTCCGGTGTCCTGAAAATTTAACCATAGCAACTGTTTAAGACCGGAAGATAGGAGGAACAAAAGTGGATGATCACAAGAGAGTAAGGTAAGTTTACTTTTATTAGTAATTGCAGAACGAGTCATTGCTAAGAATTCATCCCACTTGAATTTCCTAAGTTCTTGCTTCTCCTCCTCCGAGAGTTCAAAGTTGGGTTCCCTCCCGCACATAAAAGCAGCCCTGAAAATACAGAAACAAAAATATGAGCTTTTTGAAACATACTACTTCACATCTATACAACAGCACTTTAAGTTCATGTCCCTCGTGAAGATAGCTACGAACTAGATCCTTCAGCTTTTTCTTGCACACACATCTCTTTATCGGTGGTCTTCATTCAATTAATATTATTTTTTCTTGATTATTTCCCTCCCATTTTCAAGTCCAAAGGCTCCTTTTCAGGTGCAGTGTACAGGTGTTGGCTACAGCTATATTAACTAATTCAGCATTCAGAAATTATTAAGCAACAAAATAACTCATAACTGCAAGTTATTCAGAAAAGTATTACGAATATTTGGTACTAGAATTTATGGCAATATTATTTCAATAAAAAATTGAAGTATATGTTTGAAAACTTAAGTATGAGTTCTCATTTTAAAATTATTCTAGATAATCCTTGAAATTCAAGAAAAAGAAAATTTGTTTATAATATTATTCAAGATATCTGGAAATAATCACAATAATTATAGAATAAGCAGGGGTAATATGGGATTAGTTTGTTTCATGGAAGTATCAAGATCAAATCTGGAGATTTTCGGAAAGAATCAAAGAATTTTGTTATTATCACTGCACTAGCTACTTACTTCTACCCTAAATCACCACATCAAGAAGACCTCCACATGGCTTTTTATTTTTTTCCCCTGAGAATGTAACTATACTTTCATGACATCTAATATTAGAATATGAATTGTTCATAATATCGGATATCCAAGAAGACATAATTATTGAGAAGTTATTACACAATTACAATGAAATACTAGTTCGCAACCACAAAAGGCTCTAAGGAATCAAATATGTTACCTTACATGACTATGTGTCTGGTTCAGTACACAATTATATAATAATTCCTTTCCACATTTCTGAGAGTTTCCTGCCTAGAAACACATGCTATTTGAACCTAATTATATCAATTACCTTAAATGTTCTAGTTCTGATAAATAGCATTAAAGATGACCAACCTCTGAAATTCAGTCTCACTTTGTCACTGCCCTCTATTTCACAAAATACAAAAATAAATAAATAAATAAATAAAAATCCCATCCACTACCGAGAGCCTTGGTTCCACTTAAGTTCAGAAGGCATGTGAGTTGGTTGATCATGGTTTGACTCCTAACTGTTAAGAATAAATGAAGCAGATATCAAACCAGCGATTATTCTAGCCTGCCACATAGGTAGGTGCAAAAGTACCTTGGTAACTTGGTCAACACATTCTTGCTGGCAAGCAAGATGTGCCCGCTTCAGACCTGGTAAGTCAGCTCATAAAATAGGTTTACACCAAACTCACTCCCAATTTTGCAAATCAATCAAACTGGTTCTTGTTTCCCATATATCTTACAGAATCATTAAGCTGGTAAAATTTTCTTAGAATAAAATTTAAACAAAGTAATTGCGGTTGTCATCTAGCCACCATTCAAAACTTCCGCCAACCATCATAGAAACATAATTAAGTACTCAGTTAGAATATCTTCTCTCCAACATTGTAATGTCAATGATGGAAGTCCAAGTTAATAAACTGACCTATTAGGCATTTAAGCAAAATTATATTTGAATTTTGTCCATATGGTAGATGCTAGCAAGACCACTGAACACAGAGGTCACCATTCCATATTGACAATGTTTGCAGCCCATCTCAGTCAAGTTTCAACTGATGAAGAGTTTGTCTGTAGTCATTGCTGTCCAAATCAGCTGTTTTGGTTTTTTCATCTGGCACCTCATTTTACTTCAAAGGTTTTTTCTTCTTTCAAAAAAAGAAAAATGTAGGTAACTTTAAGGACAGCATATGGACCTATCATTTGATATGGGATATGGACTCTTTCTTTTATTTTATTTTCTTTTTAGTTTTTGGTCTCCGAGATATATTATACTGACGACAGAAGAGAGAACGACATATATATAGCAAATACTGAGGCCAGGATTTGTTAAGTGTAATTAATTCTTAAATTTACTTCTAGGACCTAAGGTATTCATTATGTTTCAAATCTTTTATAGAAAATATAAAACTGACCTTAGCAAGGTCAGAAACCATTTTAATACCTGTCATACAAACGAGCAGCAGCTTCTTGAGATCCAACAGTCCCCAAGTGAATTTGTTTCTTGTCAACTTTTATGGCTGCCTGCCATTTCATATTCTTAAAATAGACACCTCTCATCAGACATGGTTCTTGGTTCTCAAAATGCTTTCTCCGATGTCGCTTTCTGCGTTTGACCTCTGGCACTGCAAAAAAGCAAGCATCAGTTTAAAGTTTAAAGGCATTGGCGACACAAGAAACCAGGTCCGCCCAGAAGGGGGATATATATGTGGATTGGCAATAGATAAATTTTGAGTTCAATAAATATAATAGAGTAACAAAATATGGTAAAATGTGAATATAAAAGGAAAAACCTGGATATTGTTGATTATGCTGCTCTTTGGATGAGCTAGAACCAGATGCATTTGACGACCCAGGACTTACTTTTGAAATGGTTTTCTGGGAAGCAAAAGCAGCATGTACAATATGAATATAAGCTTGAAGTACAGAATAAAACATGTAAACAATCGCTAACTATCTATTTAGATAAAATAAATAAAAAAAGTAATCAATTTGTGCTACTAATTTTATATCTCAAATGAACAAAGTATATACACTTATCAACATGACGTCAAAATATTGAAAAGCACAATATAATGGTTTACGAATTTTGAATTCATCTCTCTCTCTCTCTCTCTCTCTCTTATCCAGTCAGTACAAACAGATTAGATCAGTGGATTGCTGTCAGGACTTCAAGGTAAAAGCCCTTATCAAAGGGATGATTCACAACTTGCTAGATCCAAAAACAACCCTCTAGTTTCACCACTTGTGGTTTCTATTTAGAACACCCTCCACAAATTCGATTCTCTCAAGGATTTTGCTATCCCATGCCCAACCATATAAATAGGACACCATCAATCTCATAATTGAAATTGCAAGGGGAAGTAACCCATCATTTGATCCTTACGATCTCAACTCTGTCATTGATTTCTCTGGATCTCTCCCCTACCAAACTTCATAGAAGATAGCACATATTATGCTCAACTTGATACCTTTACAACGTCAATACTAATTTCAAATTAACTAATCAGGCATTGATGAGTTCTGATGGATGAATGATGCCCATAGAGCACATCCAACATCCCATGAATTGATACCTGCCCCACACATCCAAAACAGCTTGAAGATTAATTATTGAGACATACAAAAACTGTCGGCAAAAACCGATTCCAAAATGAAGCAGAAACTCACAATGCAGCAAAATATGGTCAACTGTATATCCAATCCTATGTGATTGAGATACAATATCAAAAAAATATAGCTTTTTTTTTATGTATGGAGGAAATAAAGGGGTATGAAATGATGCTCTAGAGCCAACTTCCACAAAAACGTTTTATCAAGAACTCATTTGTTAACAATGTAAATTTATGATATATGCTGATCAGGAATTTCAATGTTCGAAGGTAAAACTTCATGAAGCTCCTAAAAAAAGCAGTCATTCTCTGTAATAACAGAGATACAGTTCCCTGGTTTAGTTCTTAACCAGAAGTTGAAAAAAAAGATAAGAATAGGGTAGTAGCATATGAATACCCACAAAAGAGGCACTTTTCTGTTATGATAATTTCATCCAAACTGGTCTTCAACTTAATAGAAAAAATCAACTAATATAAGTTCTAAGATAAAGATTCACACAAGGGGATTTTCCGCAGTTCATTATAATTTATTGCAATAGAAACTCAAAGGTTGGACTTAGCCCCCCCCCACCCCAACACACACACGCACACACAAAAATAAAATAAAAATTAAGGATGATTTATCCTCTTTCCTATAAATAATTACATTCCATTTGCAGCAAAACCTCCACAATGAAATGGTCAGATAGCAATGAATCATTTTTGTAAATGACACTTCCAATCCAAATCATTACAATAACAGATGTGACCACAAGGCCTAATGATATCCATATGGACACCTGCTTCAAGCAGAAAACTTGAAGGACAATGGGAGGGGGAAAGGCAAGAATCAAACCCTGCCCAATGGTAAGAGAATTCCTGCATGTGTGTCACACTGGCATAACACAGATAGACCTTTTAAGCATATAAAAGTTAGGACTCATGATCAGTTTAACTGCTGAAGGAAATATAATTAATCCATTGTGCATTACATAACATTGAAGAGAAGACCAATTGGTCCTACAAAGTATCTCAGTGAGTCCATATGCTTCTTTCTTTCTTTTTTGATCCCCTGAATTGAAGGGGTCATTTATTTATAATTGCTGTCAACAACAAGCCATCTAATTTTCAAAATTTATAACATAATTATATTCTTCAATAATTACAGTTCCATGACCAGCATTTTCATATTATACTGTCAATTTGCAAGTTATTATGTCATGAGAAAAAAAAAGGACAATTTGATATTCATGAGATGCCCAACACTCCACAATATTTCACATGATAAAATCTAGAATTTTATGGAAGACCAAGAAGATATTTATATGATTAATGGTACTGGATCTGATTCATGCCAAATATTTATATGAATAATTGTCTGAAAGATGGAAGTGGACAAAATCAAGCAAAGCAACAGAGTAAACAGAAATAACAAACTAATGCTCACCTCCTTTGGCTGCTCACCATCAACTGAAGGCATAGGATGAACACTGACTGGTTTTGCATTCTGGGTAGGGTTTCCAGAAGCATTTCCATTGTCAGAAAACCTAGGAAGTGGAGAGAAGAAAGAACTTCGCCCTACAAAGTCCAATGGACATCATGAATTCTGTTGGCTTGAGCACAATATAAGATTTAAACATTACATTCTCTTTCATAAACTTTATTATTTATTTTGATAATCATCCATGGAACCAGTATTAAAGAGACTAGAATACACTAGATTATACACAAAACACTTCAAGAAGGTCAGTTAAATTGAAGCATTTCACTATTCACTAACAACACCAAGTTTTCAACTTGGGCATACCTGAGCAAAGTCCCAAGAGTTTGCGCCGCCGTATGCTCACCATGGCCAATCCTGATATTCCTGAGAATTGCACAAATTTTCAGTTGAAGAGCCCTTAAAAATTTTGCAACATTACAACAGAAACTCCCAGACGGGGACTGACTACTAAAAACACTTGCTATATTATACTCAAAATAACAGAAATAGAGATGTTACAACTTACTAACGCTGTCAGGTAATTACAGAAAACAGTATTGGGGTAGCAAACAAGATGAGAAATACACATGTTCGTTGATAAAAGAAGATGAAAAAATGACTAATATAAAATATTAAGCCTAAAAAGACCTTTCAGACCAATTCCCACCTAAGATAACATTGTGAGTTTGACACATGAATAAGACTCACAAACCAGGCCTAAACAAGAAGCATTCTACAATTGCATAATAAATAGCCTAGCCCAAATTTGGTAAAGAAGAATCTCACTATGCAGGAAGCCAGTGCCAAAGGTGAATATATTGAGTCATTATTAAACTACGAAACAATGAGACCAAAGGGAAGCCAAGTGGTATGTGGCTGTGGCAATGAGACCCGGGTTCGAGTTTCATCACTGCAGTTCCAATCCCCGCCCCTCTGTCCCCCTTCCTACTGGTGTTTTTACTTCAAAAAAAATACACACACACACATATTTATATAATGAGAAATCAAAGGCCAAAGCTAGCATTTTCATGAACCATAACATTTAGTCTGCTTGGTGAACTTCCATGCTCATCACCACTAATACATTTTTTAAGTCCTACCAAGTAACCAACTACTATGATCTAAAAATGCACAAAACAGCCAGCCAGTTTCCAAGCACAAAGCAGTCAAGTAGTTCTTCAACATTCAAACAACAACGGAAAACATTGATGATAAACATAGTCAATTATGTGCAGCTTATACTTTACATTTGCAAAGACATTGCCGCTTAAATGACACGAACTAGTCCCAAATGGGTAGAAAGAGAGAACACAGCACAAAACTTGGGAGTACATGCAAAGATGTGCAATCACATACATTTTGGTGAATTTTCATTCAAGTTTCATGAGAAGAATACTAAATCAGTTGTGCCTTTAAAGTAACAAGGTGACAAAAATCCTCAACTACCCAAAAAAAACAAGGTAATAATTTGCATCAAGAAACCCCAAAATATTCATCTTCAGAGACAGAATCAGAATTCTAAATATTTCAACACAAACACCCAAAAACCCTCCCTCACAAAGAATTCCAATTCTCTCTCCTCCGATAACAAGTCAACCCCCCACCAACCTACCACCTTTTACGGAGGGGGGTAGATGAAGAACACGAACAACCCAACAAGAAAACAGAGTCCAATACACACACTATAGAGAAATCAAGAGAAACCCATATGCGACAACACGAGATATGAACAGAACAACTGTGTGACTTGGAACCCATCAAAGAAAAATGCCCAGAAACAAGCAATCCAGTAGAAAGAACAAGGCGGCGGCAAAAACCCAGTAGCAAAACCAGCCATTACAAGCAGAGAGCGTTGTGGTCTTACCTGGGAAGCAGAGAAGAGGAGGTGGGTTAAGGAAGCGTAGAAACCGAGGATAATCAAGAGGGGTTTGAATGAAATCTGGCAGATTGTGAGTAGATTAGAGAGAGAGAAAGGTGGTGAGAGAGAGAGAAAGAGGGATTGTTGTTGTTGCTCATGCATCTGCTACCACCTTTTGTTTTGTTACTAGTCCTCTCATTATGTCCTGTTTGGAGGGGAAGCTGATGAAGGTGGTGGTGATGGTACTGGTGTAGAGAGAGAGACAGAGAGAAAAAAGAGGAGAGAGAAAGGATGGTTGAATAAGAGAAGGGGAACGTATTGCTTCTTTGTTGTACTTTTTTTTTTAGCTAGGTTTTTTTCCAAGGACAGTAATGCCCTTATGAATCTTTCCCAATGCCAGTATGGTCTTCAGTTGTTCTAGCATTATATTTACTTAGTAGATACCTTTATTAATGATAAAAAGTATGCCTGCATAATTATTCATTCCACTCCTCAAAATTAAATGATCTCAATTAATTCGCCACATAATAGATGATGGTTTTCATGATGAATGCGGATATATTTTTTTCATTCCCCTTAGGTTTAGATGGATGATGGATGGGAGATTATTTGATTCAATTTAATCCATCAATATTTTTAGAATATGTTTGGTATGATAGAATAAAATGAAATGAGAGTAAAAATGAAATATAAGATTGAATGGAATGAAATGTCCATTTCCATTCTATTGTTTGGTTGCTAATATAGAATGACATAAGAATATGATAATAATTCTCATTCTGATGTTTAGTTATACCTATTAAACTCGTGAAATAGAATAATTTTTTATTATTTTTTATTTTTTTGACAAGCTAGTGACAAATAAATTAAAATTTTATATAAATCATAATAATATTAGTAATTGTGAAAGTGATGGTGTGAGTCGTAATAGTAGTAACGATGGTGGCGGCATCGGTGGAGGTGATAGCAATGATAGGAAGATGATGGTAGTAGATTGTTGTGGCCTTAGTGGTGGTAGTAATGTAGTGTTGTAGTTGCGATGGTGGCGGTGGTCGCGGCAATTGTGGCAGCCAGCGGTAGTGGTGGTGATAATAGTGGCGACATCAGTAATATGATAGTGGCACTGGTGGCAGTTGTGGTGGCAATAGGGTGTTGGTGGTGCTGGCAATAGCGAAAGGGTGATAGAAGAATAGAATGATAGTAGTAATTGAATAATAATATTTTTTTAAGTGTCAACAAAAAAAATAATAATAATAATATTTTATGATAATTTTATGATAGAATGAAATGATCATTCCTTAAGTTAGAGAACGGAATAAGATTCTCACATTTTGTTAGAATAGCCATTCCATTGGAATGATTATTTCCACTTAAATAAGGTATATCAAACAAGAGAAATAGAATGCAAAGCCAAAATGGTCTTTCCATTCCAATTCATTATATTGATACGTGTTATATTATACTTTTATGATTTGTGTGTTAACAATTTTTTTTTAAAATTATATTTGTTATTTATAAATAAAAGTTGAGTCTTTACTTTTATTATAAAAAATAAAAAATAAAAAATATTTGTCCCAAAATAATAAACAATTACTATTAAAATAGTTGGAAGGTAAAGTTTTTTTTTTTTTTTTTTCAAGAAAATCCTCTCTACCCTCCCGCAGGTCCAAGGAATTTGCCCCGACCTCCCAAGACAAGCTCCGCTTAAATCAGGACTCGCACAGCGGGGGAGCATTGAACCCATACCAAGTGCTGACTAGACAATTTGAAATCCAACCTTCTAACCAACAGTACTTCGCCCAGGAGATTGGCCCAAGGGAAGAATTGAACTTGTGACTTTGGGACTTAAACCCCAAGACCTTACCACAATGCTACAAGCCCTTGGGTTTCGAAAGTAAAGTTCAATCTCTCAACTAATTCATATGCACCTATCAATCAATACGACCCCGATCAATTCATATTTGCTAATTTAGCAAATTAAGTGGGTGTTTGGAAAGTGAGTTTTTTTATAGGTTTTTTTAGTTGTAAGATATTATTGGAAAAAAAAATTATGTTTGGAAAGATATTAGATTTTTTTGTGATTAGATGTGATGTTTGTGAGAGAAAAAGTGAAATGATTATGGTGTTTGATGTGATATTTTGTTTAGATTTTTTTTTATTTATTTTGCAACCAATTTGTCTTTTAGTAAAAAAAAATCCAAAAAAAAAAAATCCAAAAAAATTGTTCCCAAACACTGCCTAATATGGATGAATTTTTTATAATCTGCCTAAATTCATACCAATGGCTTATCAAAATCCAGCCAACCTAACCTAATCCATGAACACCCTTAAGTCATGTATGGTTTGAGTTTTTGAAACTATTTTCTGATTTTTTTTTTAAATATAAATTAATTTGATAAAAAATAAACATCATAACATAATTTTTTAATTTTAAAAATCATTTATGCCCTCCGAAAAGATAAAATTATATAAAAAATGATAAGTATTTTTTTATTTATTCCACAAAATTAATTTTTAATTTTAAAAAATGAAATAAATTTCTGAAACAAAGCAAACGTGGTCAATATTCTATTTTTTATTTTATTTTTTCAATTCCATTATTGTACACCTCTTTCTTGTGTTCATAAATGTCCTACATCACCAACATTAATAGAATGGGAAGTGCCATATATATATATATATATATATATTAAATTTTTATTTATTTATTCATGCTTTGTCTCTACTGAATTTTTTGTCTCATTACTGAATTTGAGTATTTATAATTAATTTTTTATTAAAAAATAATAAGTACTATCAATCCGATGGCCCTCCAATAATCAGCCAAACCCAATACATATTTTTATATTATATTTATTTAGTTTTATTTTTATTTAAAACAAAAAAATACACTTGAGAAAGGAAGTACACCTACCAAGCTTTTGAACTGGTATAGTGAATAAAATTAAATATTTGTGACAACTAACTGCATTGTGATTTATTTTGTTATTTTATAATATTTATTTTTTATTTAATATATTCATTTTTGGACAAACTTAGAATCGTAATGTAATTTTAAGGTTAGGCTTAGAATGTAAATTTCAAGTCATATGTCAAGTTGGACCGAATTTTAATTGAGTTTTACATTTAAAAAATTAATAAAATAGCTTAGGCCCAACTGGTTGATACCCATACCCTAATAAGGATAGATAATATCTTGTCATATACTTTAATAATATAAAATATTAAAAAGATTGATGGCATATATTTAGGATTAAAAAAAAGGTCTATTATTGTTCTAGAAAATTTATATGAAAGTAAATTTACAACATTTTGATTATAATATTTTACAATTTAAAATTATTTTGACAAAATATTTTATTTTAAAGGGAATGACTCTGCTAAATTACATCATTTTATATAACATTTTTTCATAACTTTTCAATTTGTATAGCTTTGGTCTTGCATATTTCAAAGTAAGATGAGTTTAAAATCTAAACTAGGCAAGATTTCAACCTTTTATGTGGTATGATAGAAACATTTCATTCAAAGTAAAAGCCTAAACTCCTTACTTAAATTTGGCATATTAGTGATTGACAACAACAACAACAACAACAAAAATTGTTCCACATGCTTGCTTAATTGTTCACTATAATATTGATTTATTGGTTATAAATTATTTTTAAATGTTATGTTGGTAAGTTTTTGTAGTAGAATTATATAGTTATTTGAAGTCGAATAACATGACAGATATAGATTATTCAATGCAATTTTTCAACGTTTCAAGGAATAAATGCATAGATCATGAAACCAAATGTCCTATTTGATCAAGGCATCAGACTTATTTTGCTTTGGTTATATAAATTGTCTTTTGTTATACTATCTAACTTTTTAATGAATGAAAGAAGTCAACATGTTTATATGAGATACGAAACTTTTGCTCTGGTTATGTCTTTTTAATAAATGAAAGAAGTCATAATGTTTAATAGATGATATTTTTCTGCCTGTTAGGGCAACATGAGTCATGTAACCAACCCTATTAATTGGGACACCAAACTTAGTTTGCTTTAGTTATATAAATTGTCTCTTGTTATATTATCTCATTGTTTTAGCCTCCGTTTGAGAAGTGGGTTGGCTTTTTGGCTTTTTTTGGTATTTTAGCCTAGGCTAAAAAGCTTGGTTTGGGAAGGGCTTTTTGACTTTTTAGCTTTTTTGACTTTTTTTGTGAGAGAAGAATGTAATGATTATAGGTTGGATGTGATGTTTTGTTTGTTATGGCTAAAATAGCCTATTTTGTTTTTTGTGGTTAAAATAGCCAAAAAAAAAACCTCAAGATTTGGAGGGATTGGTATTTTATTGGCTCCCTATTCAATTTTCAATGCAACTTTTCAACACCAATGTATTATTTGTAGAGCTATTCTACCTACTCAAATGTCACTTTTCACACTAAGGGGTTATTTGGGATGACCTAAATAAGTATACTTTTTGTCTTTTTACGAAAACATGTGTAGAAAAGTAGAGAGATGATGTGATGAAAAAAAGATAAAAAGATAAAAAATGTGTACTTATTTAGGATAGCCAAACTTGACCTAAATTTAATAAAATATTATTTAATTTGACTAAATAAATATAAAATAAGTGATAAAAATAGAAGGCAATTAAAAAATTCTTTACGTATCGTTATTTTTATTGACTATTGATAAATTTTGATGCATTGCAACTTGCAAATTAGATATATAAAAAAAATGTAAATGTACTTAGAGTTAGATATACATAATGTTTAACCTTCCATCTTAAAATCTTGGCTTCGTCCCTAATTCAACTTCACTCTAAAAAAAATTAGAAAACAAATTTTGAGCCCCCCCAAAAAAAAACTAAAGAATATATTTAAATTTTCAAAAATGATTTCCACAGAGATTTTGAAAATTTAATCAAACATAGATTTTTCAATTGTATTGGTTACCCAATTAGGATGGAAGATATTCAAGTGTCACACTACTGACGTCCCAATCAAACACCCAAAATCCTAATCACATGGTGAACATGTAGCTGTAGGGTACATTTATTAATCAATCAAAGCCCTAGGTTAATCCGCTTTATAGATTTGGCACAGTCATCATCCGAAATATACAAATCCAGCAATGTTTTGTGAATCAGCCGAAACATTTTTGCTTGATAGAATGGGACAATCCACTCCAACAAATAAGAGTTTTAAAAATCAAATGTTTTGTTCTGTAAAAACAAAAATTTTGTTGCAAAAGATATTTAGGGACTAATTTTTATCGTCATGAGGATAGTCGCTAAAAGGTCGTCTCGAAAAGTCCAAAACAAG